AGGAAGTGAATTGCAGCTTACATACAAATTGCAGTGATTAGCATTCAGCTGTTATTGTACTTGCAAAACTCGTTTGAAGATTTATGCACTTCCAATTTCGCTTACTGAACCTTATGTACTAGAAAACGAAGGGTGTCTCTTTGCTTTTCCAATCTAATATGTTTTTCATGTTTATTAATTTCATCTTTTTATAATTTTGTCCATGACATTCATTATTTTTCATGATTATTCATCATGTAATCATGTTATACGTGCACTGTCATTTTAGCGGCGCTTCAATGGAGACTTTGTTTCTTTCACCAATTTCTGAATAATGAATGGCTCTTGCAATTATTATCTGTAGGTCAGAGTCATTTTCTTCTCGACAACTGGAGAACGTGCTACTCCATTCATTCGTCAGGCTGCTAAAGACTATTGGGCATATGCCACTTTTGCATTTGCTTTATGGAAAGAAGAAGACTCTTCTTTTTGGTGGAATATGTACGTGGACTACCTTCTTTATTTCCTTTTCTCTGGGTAGATTGGATAGCTTTTTTCCCTGTATGGTATTAAGTTCTGTGATTTTTTTCCTCAATAAAACTACCACAAGGGCAGTATTTTATCGAAAGCAAAGAGAAAGAGAGGGCTAAATTTCCAATCAATCTTAAAAATTCTTCTTTTGTGTAATTAATGTTGATGAATTTCAAGTTTGCTAATAACATAGACAGCTTATTCTTAGCATGGTAGAAATAATGCATGTTTCTTACGCAATTAGTTGATCGATTTTATTTCATAATATGTTATGTCTTCCTCTTGAATTTCATTGCAATTGTACTGTTTATGAGACTCCATATCTTATGAGTTAAACGGACTTAGCATCCGGGGGGGAACTAAACATGTGTGTCCACAAATTCTAGTCATCGGATGTGAGTTGGCTGTTTGAGATCTTTATTTCTCCAGCCTTCACGTGCAATATATATCTCAATAACTAATTGTTTGGTTCTGGAAGTTGCTCCAATTACAACAAACCAAACGCTATTCCCTATGAATTGTGGTCAGTTGCATGAATCGATTTTGCCATTCCGTATGGTTAAGGGTTGCTGCAATAAAAAGGTGTACAATGATTTCTATCACATAACAGTGTCTCACGCTGGCTGCTGACCAAACTGGCAAAACCCTCCTCCTTTATTCCAGGGTTGAGTCCGGCTATGAAAAAAATTCTTACTGCTGCATTAAAAGTGAAAAAGAATGATAACTAAGTTTAGGAAAAAAGTAAGCTGGATACCATTCTATTATTGAGTCTGAGAACCCTGTATGTCAGGTTTCAGAGCTGTCCACGAATTTGAAGAGGTAAATGGTTAAAAGGCTCAAATTCATCCTATTTTTTTTCCCTGGCATAATCCTCATTTGATTTCTCGATATAATATG